GTCTTTTTAGGTGTTTCGTGAACTTGGCAACATAATTGTTTTTTGCTTGCAATTAGAATTAGCTTTAACACAAGAAGAAGTTATGGATTTATTGACGGCCGCACCATTTACAAACGTTATTCCACGTCCACCAGCGAAAAGTAATTTCTTCGGATTTACTGAACATCATTTCCAGTTTTATAGAATGCTTTAATGGAGCACTCAGTAAAATTCATTTGTGGGTTCTTTAATTATGATAGAATAAATGCCTGCATAAAATGAGCTGTCTTATGTAAGTTGTGGATTCCAACTTTTTACTTTGATACAAAATTGTTTAAGGAATACCTGATTTAGTTTGATCAGTTAAATTGAAAAATATTGCAAGGAATTTTTTGAAGAGGTTGAAGAGCAGGAACTGAAAATGAAGCAATTAGAGCAGAAATATGCACGAATTCAGATTTCTGCTATTGCTGAACAAATTGGTGATGAAAAGGTTAATGATTGCGACTTTTTTATTCTGCGCATACTTTTCATTTTTTGTTCTCGTGCACTTTTTATTCCTACTGAATTTATTTTCCTAATGAATTTAATACTGTTAAGTTTGATTTTACAGCATATAAAGTAAACAAAAAGAAATTTAAGCAGAATGATGTTTGTTTCATTATAGCAAAAAGCAATTGCTCGAGAAGCGGAATTGCTGACGAAAGAACGTCTTTGCTGTGGACTGAATATTTTTGAGATGTTTATTTTGAAATTCAAAAAGATTTTATCGATGGATACTATTTGGTCTGGTGGCTTCCCTAGCAACGGAGTTTGTTTTCATGCAGATGTGCCAGATCTAATGTGAAAAGTTTTTTGTCTTCGAGAATAATGTCGATTTTAATCGAAGAATTTTTACTTATATTAACAAAATTTGTAAATTTCTTTTATTTTGGAATTTATCAATCTATGCCACATTATTTTCTCAAATATAGTTTATCGTAATTTAGGTGATGTGGTTAGATGAATGCGTGGAATTCCATCGTTTATGGTCAGCGCTTCAGTTTTTCTTTTGTCAGCCACCACTTTTAGGACAGGAGGGCCTGAACCCTGTTACTGAACCACTAATCGAGTAAGTTGCTTGATGATTTCTCCCACCTATTCTGGTATTCGTGGCGGTACATTAATCTTACTTTTTTTACGGCTTCAAATCAATCAGAGAGAATTCTTTTTTTTTTAAACTGTTCGAGCCAGTGTTTTTCAGAGCTCTCTTTGGTGATGGTTTACATTGGGCGGGTTGCGCAATAATCACTGTATTGAATCAGCATCGCCGATTTGAAGTCCTTGATTTCAGTTATCATCTTCTACGAGTTCATCGTGCTGATGGGAAAGATAATATCGTTCATGGCATTGTAGGCATTTATTTATTGTTTTCGATTCGTTCCATTCCTTGTTTGTATTTTTACATTTCTTCTGCACAAAAAATACAGCGTACAAAAATACAAATTTCAGAAACTTTCTCGAATGGTCGAAAGGATTCGTCGATTCCAGTTGTTGAATAATCAGATCTTTGTAGTGTTGAATAATTATCTTAATTCACTTTGCGAAAATGGCGAAGAACTAATGGAAGAACAAGTCCGTGAATTCGCACCACCCATCCATCACTCTGTTTCACACAATTTTGTTCCTAATGATTGAGAACTGGAACTTCTCTCTTTAGAAATATAACTTTTCTACAACCTTATATTATTTTCGTTTTAGAGATTTATCTTATCTGCAGTCGATCTGGTATTAAAATTTTTCCAATGGAATAAATGATAGTTCGGACTATATTAGGAACATTCCCACAATAAATGCATGGCCCAATTTCTGTTAATTTTTTATTATAACCAACAAATTTACAGCCATTCATTTTCCTGTTCCAAATTCTCACTTCATGTTCTCTCCCACTCGCCCTTATTTTGCATTGGTTTTCCAGTTTGGTGCTGCTTCATTTTTTGTATCATATTTAACTTCATTTTATTTTTTAATCGATTGTTTAGCAAGTTGTTTTATTGATCTCAGAATTAATTCCTATCACTTGCATCTTTACCACTGTAAAAGAAAGGAAACTGGAATGCATCTCCATTTTATATTTGATGATAGATTAACATCGATATTACATTAATGCTCAAGAATTGGTCTTTGAGACCTTACGAGTACATTTTGGAGAGAGGAGATCTTGCATAAAATTTAAGCTGGAATCGGAACAGTTTGCTGACATATGCTGGAAGTTTTAAATATCAAAATTAGAATATTAAGAAAAAATTGGCTGATTTATAAATGTTGAAACAATTTGACCCAGTTATACTCTTGGAGAAAGCTCCTATGATTCAGATCATTGTCGATTGCCTATGGTTTTAATTTAATGCACATGTGTAACCATTGTTTTCTTGATTTTATTTGGATTAATTGATTGAATGAGTTATAGTACATGTTGGGATTTTACGGTACTAGTCAGTGTGAATGCATTAAGCGTGAACTTTCCGATTAAAAATCTGTTCCAGGAACAACATGAACTTTTATGTTTTGTATACAAGCCTACACTATTTATTGTTTGATTTACATCATTTACGATTCTTATGTTTTCATTAATAGAAAAAATGATTTTGTAGTGAAACTGATGAAAAATAGATGGCATCTTATAATGGTGGGGTCTTTCTCCAAATTTGCAGAACTATCTGTATGGTTTAAATTGCAGATTTCTGCTATCAGAAGTTTCCGAGAATTTTTTCTAAAATTGAACTTTCGATATACTTTATTTATTCTTCATTCAGTTGCGGAGAAAGTTCCCCGTAACTACTTCAAATGTATGAGAGATTTTCAAAGAAATGTTGCATAGGAATTATAAACGTTTGTAACCAGGTGATAATATTTTGCACAGAAAACATCTGCAGCTGTTGCTTATTATGTACTTAGTACCCTGGATAGAAATGTAATGATAACTTTGCAGATTCAATGTTCATACCATGAGAGTAGTGATGTTACTTCTTAAATGTTATCTCTTTTAAATAGGAATGGTTAATTGATCAGTTTTATTGAAGCTGTAGAAATTATCCCGTTTTTTTTTTTTGTATTATAAATATAATTGAAACATATAACTTTCAACTTTGGTCAAATTACATATGCGATTGATTGAACAAATGCTTCCTATTAAATTCGTTTAGTTTTGTAGATTTTTGGCTCGTATCACCTATTCCTATTTGGGGTTCGAGCTAAAATCCTTATGGATTTACGGATCACTTTCCTAATTTGATTATCACTATTTTATTGATTTGGTAAACACTTCTGTAACGTATGTTAGGGCACTCATGTATAGATTAACTGAATATGTCACCTTGATTTATATAAATAAAAATTATAATAAATCACAGAATATTCAAAGCACCATTAGTAAAAGTATTAATACTATTTTCAGACAATGTTGAGGAAGATTAGTGTATTTATAAACATTATATTAGTTCGGTGATGGGTTGGGTTCGCGATGATTAGGTTAATTAATGTAAATAAGGTGGACATAAAAACAAGGTCGAGAAATTCTGGACAGGACATTGCTAGCAGTTATTAATAAGTCCCCTGTCCTTGCCGAATTCATTTCTTGATATTGATAAAATCAGTGAATGGAGTATCTGTTCTTACTGACCGACTTGCTGAACCATCTTTCTGCTTTTTTCTACTCTTATGACAATTCTTGTTGAAAGGAAACAGTGAAAGATCAAAAACAGTTGGGAAAGTTCTATTCGTTTGTGCTTTCATATCTTGCTTTATAGTTGCAGAAGAGGGCTTATCAGCAACTTATGATGCTTTGGGTAACTAACTGAAAGAGCAAGAGAATTTTGATTTGAATGAATGAAATCTTTGGTGATAGATCCATAAATAATTGGTAGAAAAACCAGTGGCAGCTCCGTGAAATGTCTGGCACTTAACATCCACAAAACAGATTTCATCGAACCGATGGCCACAACCATTGATCATAATTCGCATAGGTGAACTATGAGTAAAGAGCTGACAATCAGATCATAAAATCATTAGCAAAGTAATGGAGTTTTGAGGAAAACAACAGAAACGGAAGTTGCCATTCCAATTTTCCCATTAATTTTTATTTTTCTACAAGACAGCTCTATATTCGCTTTCAAGCATCAAAGTTTTAATCCAAAAAATAAGTATATTTTTCTCATGAAGACTAAAACGATGCAACCGTTCACTATTGGCTCGTTTCTGCTATTAAATCTTTTTCGATTAAAACACTATGCCCATTTTCTCAGCATATCAACTTATGTACATCCTGCATACCGGATTTATAAATTAACGCAGCAACAAATAAATTACAATCAGTAAAGCAACTGCAAAAGTAAGTTAAAATATTAAATGCATAAAGGTAATATATTTCAAAAATTTTAAATGTATCAATTTAAACTAAAACCTGAAATTGAAAAACAGGATAAAAGGCAACCACTTACATGCTAGTGACCAGCAAACACTATGAATAGGGGTTCTACAAAAGGCAAAAACAGGAATTGGTTACTTAATTTGCATACGCCGAGATCAATAAAGTATCCGTCCCTGAGGGATGACATCATATCAGAAAAAAAAACTGACGGAATGAAGGATGGACCAACAGGGAATCCAGATAATCAAAGATTATTACAACCCTAATAAATAATAAAATGTACCAGCTTTTCTGGTTCTGAAAATTGAGTATTCATTGATTTCAGGAGATTTCACGACAAAAAGCCAACTGCCAAGTATATTTCAACAGTAATTTTTTACAGAAACAACATTTTTGTCTAATAGTTCTGAACTGCATTATTATCCAAATCTAGTAAAAATGAATCCATATATTATTAACTTATATTTTAATCAGATCATGCAATTTTCCAAGATGAACAGACTTGAAGTACAAGAAACGAAGAATAAAACAACAGGAATATCTGAAAAGACCTTGAAATTTAGAACTGGAATACAATTTGATGAGAATAAGAAACGTTACTAGAAAACTTGAACTACTGTTTTGTAGCTGCGCGAACAACAGACATTGTTATAGTTGAGCCAGCGAGCTTCCGACCACTCAGCAACATTACGGCTTTGTTCGCTTCCTAAAACTGAATTTTTAATACAAAAGTATAAATATTCTAAATTAAACAAACTCCCCACTAATGAACTAATAAACCAGAGAAATATAACAATTTATTTTATTTAAAAAAAAAAATTTTGTTATTCATTAACAGTTGCTCCAAAAAGTATTATCCAATGTTTTCCGAATTGTTCTGAATTTTCAATCTCATAATACGATTTCATAACAATCACTGATATTCAATTAATGGAAGTACAAACGTGAGGTGAGCCGACAGCTAGGAGACATTCGCCCGTTGGTATTCCGTTATCGTCCAGCTTTATTCTTACAGAACTTTCCACCAGCGAATATTTGTCGAAGAACTGAGCCACATCAGTCAAAGTGACATTTGCCGGAAAACCATGACAACTAATAACTGTACCTGGCTCTCCTACGGATGCAATCAGTTCTGGTTCCAACATTTCTACCTAAATTTTATTTAACCATCAGAATTATAAAATCCACTATGAAAAATTATATTTTCTGAATAATTTAAATACAGATTCAGTGCTCATACTGATCAATTTCATTGCTTTCAGAAAAAACGACTCTTTGAGCCCACCGATTCAACTTTTTTATCAACACCGAGGTGCATCTGTTGCCGGGTAATTGCCGTGACTGTGATAACATTTTCTCCAAGTTTCAAACCACTGTACATTTGCACTGCTTTTGTAGCTTCATCCATGGCACCCATATCAACATAAAATATTCCATCAGCCGCTCGACGTAATGTCGCTAAAATACCAACAGATACACGACTGTGATAATAAAAAAAAAAAGGTATTCTCTTATAAAACATTACAGTAGCGGACTGTTGTAGGCAATACCGCAATAAGCTAACGAGATATTATAAAGGTGTTCTCGTGAGACAGATTTCGTGAAACTGTGTATGAAACTTGCCTTGAGTAGCTTGAGTTAGCTGCAAGAACTTGGCAACGTCTATATCATTTTCACTCTCAGAAACGTTCTCGACCATCAGACACGATTTCACACTTGGAGGTGGAATGGCTGGAATTGGCCCAGCTGGTCCATTATTTGGTGGATGAAGTATAGGAGGACGTGGACCACGAAGCAAAGGAGGACCACGACCTGAAGGCGGCGGACCACGTTGCCGAATAGTTGAAGGTGTCGTGTTTCCGAAAAAAGTCGGTGGAGAGATAAGTGGTGGGCGAGGTCGACTTCCTGAAAGATTTAATATTTCAAAAACAAAAAAAAAAAAAAAAAATCATTGTTAAAATGGATGAAATTAAGTGTAAATGAGTTTCTAAAGAAAAACTTAAGGCGCTATAGCGGTACCTTGTAAAAGACCTCTATGTAGACGAAAGGTTGGAAAACGAGGTGGTGCCACAGAAGACGAACTAGCAATCCCATTCAAACCACTGGAAGACACATCTCCAACTTCCCGCTCGCTGTGATATCCATGAATAAGACTACCTCGATAGAATCCTCCTCGTCCACGAGTACCACGACCTAAATATAAAACATTTTTTAAGCTTATTCATTTTTATATAAATCGTTTACTTTAAAAGAAGTACAAAAGCTAACCTTTGGAAGATTCTTGGAAATGTAAACTTGCTTCAGTAGACCGACTTGGTAAATCAAGAAGTGGAGCAATTGATGAGTCGCCTCCATGCTTCCGTTCATATTCTTCCTTCTTTTGACGTCCAAATCTGTCTGGTACTGCCAACATCTGATCTGCGTCCTCATTTGTTATCCTGAAAATACGTCACTTTTATTGGTCATTTGTTATTCTAACTAATCTAAATGAAAATTTACAAATCCGAAATATTTTCGGCATCCTTAATTCATTCGAATACTAATTTCAAAAAATGAACCAAAAACTGAAAAATCTAAGCGCACCTTCTTGCACGAATTGGTCTTTCATTGATCTTGCCACGCACACGATATGCTTTTTCTGCCAGATCAAATGTGCTAAATTCAGCAATCCAACGATCTGATGCTTGACCATCTTCATTATAAGCCCGAGTCACTTTTGTTGGCTCACAACGCGGACCAAGATACCTAAAAATCAATTTCGATGCTTTCATTTAAAAAACTGAGTTCTATTCTGTACTGCTTACAATATTATTACAGGGATATTAATATCAGCCAACATAAGCAATCAGAAGAAATTTCTTGTCTGAACTCTCCAAACAAATTTCATAAAATAAGAACTTAAGGAAAAATGGTTTCTTGACGGTAGTTCCTTACGATTTCTTTGGTTAAAGAAATTTAAACATACTCCCGGATTTCAATTTCCGTAACCCGAAACGGCAAATTGGTGAATTCGATGCAATAACGACCAGGATCAACTCCACGTCGTTTCGAATCACGATAGTCTCGATAATCTCGAGGCGAACGTGAGCGACCGTGTCGAGAACCACGATAACGGTCTTCGTGATCACGCAAAACACGAGGACGTTCATCATATCTCCCATCAAAATCACGTCTTTCCTGCAACTGGAAAGATTATACCGTATATAAAATATACGATTTTAAAATAAAATGTAATTTTAAAACAGCTTATTCAAAAACACAGAAAAATGTATAAAATTGTTTTTTTAAAAAACTGGAATCATATCGAAAAAAATTTCCATTACAATCCACATTTTTTTCGAATTTATTATTCTAAATATAATGTCATACAGGACTGCGATGATGTCGTAATGAAGCACCAGTACGCGGACTTCTTTCGTCATGATAATCTGCCTCCTTTGTACCTTGTAAGAATGCTGGTGGAATTTGCAGACTACCATCCACCGCGTTATCGAATACTTCCTTCGGACAAGAACGAATCCTATTATATTAAAAAAGGTAAGACTTTTCATAAAATCATGAAAGGATGGTTAGCACCTCATGTCTTGTTCCCTCTCTCAACTTCCTTACCTTATGCCTTGTTCTCCATCTCTGTCTAGTACGTTTTTGGCATCTTTGGCACACTCGAAACGTACCAGAGAATGCAATGGGAAACCTTAAATAATTCAAAATTATTGATTTTGAACCCAAGTGATTCTTTGAAAATGTAGTTGTTTTCTAGTATTAAGATTTTCGAAAACACTTGGCTTTTAATTTGTTTAAATGCTAAGAAATTTATTTAAAGATATGAAGAAAAAAACTGCCTTTCGGATCGAAAACAACTTTGACAGATGACAGTGTGAGGGGCGTCGATGGACGCAAGAAATGTTCGAGAGCTGCTGGACGTAAAAGTTCCGACGGAAGCCGGCTGAGTTCCACATAGCAATTCTGTTTATCCTCTGCCAAACAGCTAAAAATTAACATATTTTTCTGCTAAAACGAAATCTTTTCTCATATCATTCTGTACCCCGAGAGACGTGTAAAACTAGATTACTTTTTGACACAGGGTAAATGGCACCGACAAAGAGCGGCTAAACCATATAAAAGGAATATTACGTATCAAAAAAGACAAAGACCACTACTAGAATAACTACAGGGAAAAATGAACCTTTCAGTATTTAACATTATGAGAGCTTATTTCAGAAAGCTTGATGTATTCGGCATATAACATATCACCATCATATTATAGAATCAAATCTCGTGATCTTGGTGGCATAAAAGTGGGATAAAACTTACTGTTGTGTCGGTAAAGCTGAGAATACTGGTCCATTGCGGCCAGTGTATCGCGCAACAAATGCATGAGCATTCGCTAATCCAGATGCAGGTTGAGTGCCAGTAGCAGCACTGACCGGCAAAGTATTTGCCAGTAATGGTGGTACAAGAAGGCCCGGAATTGACGGCGGTAATGGTAGGACTTGACCCGGTAGAACCGCAGGAGCAGCAACATTAGTTTGCTGATATATCTGCAAAGGAGTAACAAACTCCATTTTGATGAAATGTGGACTTTAGAAAAATTTTGGAAGCGAAATCTCATTTAAATTTGAACTTTTTTGATTTTTTTATCTAAAGAGATGTACTAGTAGAACGTTTTCTAAGAAAGTTAAACAGAAAGGTGACTGATTTTATACCGGAGGGACCTGTGTAATTGCGCTGGAAGCAACTGTTGCTGTTACCACTGCTTGAACGCTAGCGTTATAACCTTGAAAATTATTATCTTGTTCATACTGACCGAATCGTTCTTCACGATTAGATTGTTGGTATCTGTAAGTGGAAATGACCCTAATTTATTGTTCTGTTTGGCAGAAAATTTAATGTTATAGAGATTTTCAAAAGGTAATTTTTTTTTCAGGTGAAAATTAATTATAATCTCATAACAGCTATGGACAAGATTTTTCGAGTGGGTTTCTTCGAGATATCTCTGAAGGAACTAAATACTTACACAGAACTTGACTGAGTAGTTTGTCCCAGTACATTCAGCATTTTAGGATCTTGCCATGGTCCAACTGAATGTACTAATTGTGATTGTGTTGTTGTTGTTGTTGCTGTTGTTGCCTGACGACTCGCTGTGCGAGGTTCATAGCTTCCCTGGGAACCGTTTTTCCAGGAATCCGATAGAGCACCATCGGCTGCACGGTTCCAAGCATCCTCTGTTACATTCGCTAAAGACCAATTCAAGTTTTATATTTAAGTTCAAATTTTATTCACTATTAGCTTTAATGTGAATCCAGAGCACCATCATTTCCGCTGATGGACTGTCCATTACATTTTTTTTTTTTTAATTTAAAAACAGAGAGGCATTAAAAAAAAATGTTTCTCTGTTCGTCTAGGTCATATTCAAATACTGTAAGGATGTATTCATAACGATTTCAGTTTTTTTTTAACAATTTGAGTGCGATACGAAATGGCAAAATATTCCAGATTGTATTTTGACCAAACGTTCCAACTATTTTATAACCTTTTTTCTTCTTTACTTATTGCTTAAGTATGCATCAATAATCACTATTATTTTTAAATAGAATAGCGGATGTGAAACGAGATGTACTTGCTAAATGCTTCCACTATCTATTACTTTCCTATTTCATTTCATCTAAAGTATATCGATAAAATAAACTGTCAACGAACTCAAAGAACTCAACGTATATTTAAGATGTATTTTACAAATTTTTATATCGATTCTGCACAAAACACTGGAATAAGGACGCAAAGTAGGCAAAAGAATACTGCTATGGCTGTCCCACCGTTTCAGTTAAACGAAAACATAAATGAAAATAACGAAAGAGCCAAATAAGACCGAACAATAAACTTCCTGAATTCCCCTTTCTCCGATTTCATTTTTCCAATCTTAATTTGTTATTGAATGTCTCATTTTTCAATCTCTTTAAAGATTTTAATGCTTGTGAAGTGCTTTCTTCAAATGGTAGGTTGTCGTTTAATAGGGAATATTGTACTAAACCTTTTTCCATATTCAGTTTTTCATTTTCTTTAAAAACTGAGGATGAAGAAACAAAAAGGGAACTTATTGAAAAACACTACTTGAAAAGGGATAAACTCAGAAATAATGGAGATTGACGGGATCATTTGCCTGTGTTACATAGTTCTTACCGGCTAAACACGACTTTAAAATGTTTCTATCAGAACTGCACCGTCTGTCAATTCTCAGGGTAATTAACGTTTTTTAAACCAAAGTGTTGATCGGATAAAAATGTTAGAAAGCAGGTAGTGAATATTTCAATTCTCGGCGGAAAAATGGAAGGTGCATGTAATGTGCAAGATGATCAAAACAGTTTCCAATAATTCTTTGTCAACAGCTAAAAGTTTTGCGTTGCATCTAATACAATGAATTAAGCTATCCTATGAAATAAATTATAAAAACAATTTTTGAATATTCACAATTTTGATACTTATAAAAATTATAAAAATGAACAAGTTGTCAATTTATCAACCTAGTGACTTAATTGTATTATTTTAACATAAAGAGCCATATGCTTTCAGCACAGAGAGATTTATTTGCTATTACTGATCAAAATTTTTTCCTTTTTGCTTGCCGCTCATTAACTTGGTCTAAATTTAAAATCAGGAAACCAATTTAAGCCAAAAGACAGAAAAAAACCCCAAAAATCTTAAAGAACTAATATGACAAAAAAAAAAAAAAGAAACAGCGACTTAATTATCATTTATTGCTAAGCAGACCAACAAATAACTATTTCTGAAATGAAGGGTCATATCTCCAACATCAATATGTACTACCAAAATGACGCTCTTCCTTAAAATTACATGAACTTCCAGGTATGAAGGAGGGAATCCAATTTTTTTAAATTCAAAATCCTAACTTATTCAATTATTACATATAAAATGACCACCGCTTAACATTTTTAGATCACAGAATCAACAAACTAAAAACTGTTTCAATATTCTTTTTTTTATTTTTTTTTTTTTTTTTTTTGTTTTTTTTTTTCACAATATTCATATCAAACTAAGAACATTTATTGCAGAGAAACGACCTGATCGCAAAGCGATTACATTGTTTTTGGTTGATAGAAAAGGTAGCTAATTTTACCTGTACGAAGGTAAGAACAGTCATTTTAAAGGTAATCTCATGTCACCGCTTGTTTGCACATGTCAATAAGAATCTTATTTGACATATACTGTTATTATTAGCAATTTCTGTTTTTACAGTGCCGCTCGCCGAGATAAATAAAAAAATTTTTCAACAGCAAAACACATTTAACTTGAAACAAGGCTGAGCGATTTCCGAACTAAACTGATATGAATATTCAATGTGCTTGCAACTTTTACTAATTAATTAGTCTTTCACGGAATAAAAGATGATGCCATGGAAGAACCGTCTGCTTTTCGCGATATTGTTAATTCACAAGAATTTGCAATTGAGATTTTGATGTACTTAGAAAAACTTCATCTACTATTGGGATATACAATAATGCAATATTTGAATGTATCAGGATACTTCTAGTTACACCAATACTTTACCTAAACTTGAATTAAGAATATTTGCAATTTGGCACAAATTTTTATAAATTGTTGATCAGACTGTTACGGATCGAACGGCAACGTTTTATTACCACAAAATTACCCGGAAGTAATAAATTTTCTACAATATTTGTATTAACCACCTCACATAGTTCATGTTCTAAAGTGAGCAACATTTTGCCCGTAATTGATTATGTAGCACTTTAGTGAGCGTGAATAAAAACAGAAACTTTAATTTTCAGGAACTTAAGCTTTGTATTTTCCCAAGAAAGTTTGAGATTTAAACGTTATTACTCAAACGCTTCATGCCAAACTTCCAAAATTCTTAAAATCTTCAGCAATATACCTCTTGCATAATCTTGTTGTCCGTGTCCGCCATTCCTTGTTGCATAGACGTCCGCGACAGTCGGCTGTGATTGAGCAATACGTTGATTTCCAAAACTATCCGCTGTAGAATCGGATGGGATTTGGACGCCGCCTGGACGTGCCGCTGGAGAACTATCACGTCTAAGCGATGGAGCAGCAACGGATGCAGCCGAAGCTACCCCAACGACATTCAGATCCCCGGCACGAGCTTTTGCAATGACGGCATCCATTTCAACGCGTGATGACAACAGCAAACGTACACGTTGGTCATGTATGCGCCGATTATCGAAACGCATCGCTTGACGAGCATCTTCATCAGTGGCAAAACCAATAAAAGCATCACCATCCGGCCCACCAACAATATGTACGGCACCATCCGGTATCCGTAATCCGGCGAAAAAAGTTCGGATGTCTGCTGCATTCGCAGATAACGGTAACCGTTGTAAACGAATTATCCAAGACATTAAGACTACCTGAATCACAAGTGCACCTTACTAATTTCCAGCAACGTTTCGCGACACGATTAAAGAAACGTAATGGACAGCCATTACTTCGATTTATGTGTTCTGTTTGAAAATCTTTTGTGTGTTAGACCCTTTCTAAATTGCATATTAATATTTAGGCACATAAAATAATTCTTCTTGTTAATGAAAAATATTTTGAATTAGCAATTTGCAGATTGTTGGCGCCTTTGCAATTTCTGCAGCTTGTAATACCAAATTCATTTAATTTTCAAGATAAATCTTTCATTCGAATATAAAAATTCGACAAGTTGTTTGGATCTATGAATTAAGTTGAAGAATGGAAAAAAGCGAAAGTGAAAAAAGCAAGACAATTTTTTTAATGACTTATAATAAAGTGAACAGTCAAGGGAAAAAGGAATACACCAGGTGGAGTTTAGTTTTGAATCCAATTCATTCCAAAGATGGCAATTTTTGCTTATTTTAAAAAGAGTTAAGGAACTGTGCATGCATGTAAATGTATATATTCTTCGCCAAATTTATTTTGCTTTCTACATCCCAAAACCCCATTTTGTTTCGCATTTTTGCAAAATCTAATAGTTCGTTCGGTTCCCTGCTTTCTTCATAGAATTTAACCTGAGAAAAACAATTGCTGATGAAACAAAAAATGGCCGAAATGGAGAAAGTGATGAGCGAAGAATGCTCTTGATATATTCCTTCATCAAGATACAACAGTGTAATGGTCTCAGAAATTTGATAAATAAAATCAGCTGTTAAACCAATTCCGAATTTACATTTAGATGTTTTTCAAATTATTTTGTATTCGGATGAATGTTGATAAATCGGCAGATTCAGCTGGGATATTCCAATGTTTTTCAGTCAGCGGATGGATAAAATTTCGAGCGATTTAAATTTCAAGAAGCTAAAGGACAAATTTCAAAACCTATAACCAAGTAACATAACTGGATGATGAAAGAATTTCGCTTTATTTCTACACGTGTTTTGGAATTTATGTTTTGGAAAAAAAAAGTTTAGATATGTGGTGACCAAGAGAATAAACTTCACTGATAGTTTCATATAAATGCTTCAAAACCAATCTGCATAATGTGGCATTTGGCGAATAAAATATTTAACTTCGCGAAATTTATTTTGCCTTACACTGTCGAGAAAAGTCAGTCCATTCAGAAGATGTAAGATAGTAAGTGATGCATGTGAGCGCACAGCCGAATATCCACTGCTAATTGTATAACCTACCAGACATAAAATAATGGTCTAACTGAGAAAATGAGTTCAATTCACATAAAACCGAGCTTAATCTCTTAAATTCCAGAAATGTTATGCGACACGTCATGTCTCATTTACCGATCAAATTTCCTTCTCTACCAAAAGTTTTATATGCCAGATTTTTGCGCATAGGAAATGCAAAGAAATACTGAGCAGAGTATTAAAGTATGGAAATACATGACGGATCAAAACAGTAGCCTTCGAAATGAACACCCACAAAGGGCAGTGTTAAGGCATACTGGTAAAATTAAACTCTTAGTAATCACTTTATCACGGACGAAAGAGCAATAAAACCATTCACCAAAAGTTATTTCTGGAAACAACAATCCCCTTTCTACTGTTGCATACAAATGAATAAAACATTAGGAAGACTCCAACAAATTATTACGCAATAACAGCACCACAACCTACTCTCCAAAAACCCGAAAAGAAAAGCGAACCATACTACAATGCCAACCCGTCGAATACCCAAAAAAGCTTCTACACTAAAACCGGATCACCGCAATATGAAAATGCTCATCCCACGCAAAAGCCTCGGCAATGAAACCAGCAAAACAAGATAAAGTAAACAGAGTTGTAATAAACCATTGAAGTCAATCAAAGACAAAGTTGTGTTTGCTATAAGAGTTCGGAACTTTACTATTTACGCTATTTATATTAATGTCGCAAATTTAAACTACCAGGAAAAACTTTAAATATTTTAACGAATTAAGATTCAAAATTAATACTGAAGGACAACTAAACATAGAACCAAATGGCTACAAAAATTTCAGAAAGTTTAGAGATCATATGCACAATATGCATTTGAAGAGAAACTGCGTTTAAAAGATACATCTGGTACCAAATTATCAGGTTATTTCGATCATGATGAAATGATTCAATATTACTTGAACATAAAACAATTTGCCAACCATATATCAAATATTTTATTAGAATATTTTAGCATCCGATATCTGATAATAGCATGACGACGTACAACTCGGATTCACGTAGCGAATATATTTTAAATTAAATTAAATCTCTTTTCCGGTTACTGCACAGGATTTTATCAAATTTCCGTCTTCAATTAATATTTCTCTTCCAGAAATATTTTGTTGCCGCGCTACATAAAAATGACTGTTCAAAATAGGATGATGCATAACAGTTTATCACCGAACTCCCCTTCCCCTTCCAGGATTACGTTTCACAACACAAACGATTTAACATCCCTAATATTTTATATCCCTATTATTCTAAAAAGCATTTTGCTGAGCTATCTCCAACGTAGAAAATCTTGACAATTGGCAATCATATGGTGAACCCGATGATGAGGACTCTGCTAAAATGGAAACAGAGAGGAATGAGCATGAAATATAACTGAGTTAAGTGTTTAGAGACAAATATAGAAGGATCTTGTGAGGACCACTGCTTGGCCTTTCGTAGGAGATCAACCTCCAATTTTATGGTAACCAAAAAAAAGAACAAAAAAAAAAAAAAGCTCCTGATTTTCAAAATTTGTAGGAAATCAATTTTCAGATCCTGTGAGCATTACCTAACAATAGCTAGATGAAAGAATCAATTGACCATTTGGATAAAAATGAACATAAAATGTGAAAATCCTAAAGCTTCCTATCCTACGAGAAGCATTACCTAACTTCGATAGAAAGCAATCCTTAAAAAATAGATCAATCGATTTTTGAGTCTTTAAAAATAAATACTATATTCTGATTTGATATGTTATTTGCTCGATTGTGAAAAGTGAGGAGAATCAGAGCGATCAGCTGACCAATTATTTTTGAAATAGTAGGCAGGAAATTATGTTAATGTGAATTTCGGATCACTTTTCGGATAGAAAAAAATGTCACTCCATGGTTATGGCCTAAAGGACAGGCTTAGGAGAGATGGGAAAAGTTGTCCCCAACTCCCTGAAGTTAGTTGTGCAGCACTCACTCCTCGACTCGACTCGACTCAACTCGAATTGACTCAACTTGACTCGAACCAAACCAATAACCAACCCGCAGAACGACGCAGCTCAGTGTAGTCGACATAATTCAACGCAGTGCACATGTCGGAGAGGGCTCTTCCTCTACCCTCCTCCCTCTCTCTCTCCTTCCCTCTCAAATGCTTATTCTCTCTTCACGTCTACCCTCTTGCAATCGATAAATCGATTGATACATTTGATGAGCGTACTTTTGCAGTGTTATAGGAGTTGGTCCAGCGCGATGGAAATTTTGAATGAAGGTGGAAGGAAGAAGTAAACAGTGACTACTCGAGGTCAAAGGTTACAGATCCATCCTGGTTACAAACGACATGACTTATACTGCTGCGGGGGAAGACGAAAGTCAGTTCATTTGATATTTTCGACGTCAATCATACTCGAACTGATGTCCCTGTGCATAAGTTTTCTCGATTGAAGCGATAAAGTCGATTTCAGGAATTCTGTGATAATGTATAGTATTGTCATGACCTCCATAACACCAAGCTAACACTTCCGTTATTGTTTCATAGGGAATGAAGATTGTAGGCTGAGGATGAAAGGAGATGAGATTTGGAAATGGGACAGAATTAGGTCATCCCAACTAAATTGCACTTAAGAAGTTTTGACCTTTTAAATGCAAAGGAGCACTCCGACCTTTTAATAATAACCTAGCTGCTATCACAGCTATTTCTCAATAGAAAAGACTAAAACTGCACCTTATGCTTTCACGGCGTAGAACAATCGGAGGGGACAATCACTCTAAATGAAAATAAAATATGACTGGAACAAGCTATTTTCATAGCGGTGCAATCAGTGAACGGGAAATGACATATCAGTCAGCGAGGCGGTGAAGTCCATGTCGGTATGATAGTGCGAGGTAAGAAAATCGTCTTTTGATTCATGTGAAGAGGTGACCGAGGGACGTCATTCTGTTTCCCAAAGTAACACATTCTACTGAGGAATGATATGTGATATGCGCTGGGATCTGTTTCTCTGTGGTGACCATTTACCCTAAATGATCAATTCCTTCTCTTCTTGGAGTATGGTGCATCTTCTAAAAACAAGATGCACCATACTCCACTGAGTGCCTATATAATTAAAGGAGTAGGAACCGAATTATAGACGCTTGTCGTCTTAATATGAAACTTTTGTCCTCTATTCTTAAGCTTCCAAAGAGAGGTTTTACATCAGAAGGAAATGGAAACTACTTCATCATGTGAAGAGTACATTGAAGAACATCTTTTTACAGAGCTGTGGTGATGGGTCGTGCACAGTTTGAATATGATGAAGTGGGTAACACATTCTACTATGTTCTAGTGTCATTTTATGCCTTGGTGCTTATACCTGCAACATTTTTTTTCTGGCCTTCAAGTAAATTAGGTTGGTTTTTGTCATAATCACTTTTGCCCTGTTTAATGTGCAGGACCAGTTTCAGTTGTGATTCTCTTAGGAGACTCCACCTAACACTACAAAAGATTTTTTTAGACTTTAAATACAACCAGCTTTCTGGAATATGAAATCAGCTAGATAAATATCACCGTCCGTCGAAAAGCAGTTAACAGCGTTCTTTCAATTAGTGGTAGCATGCAAATATCCAAATTTCAGATAAATCTGAAAAAAAAGAGCACTGCTACTGCGAGGGATGTACCGAAAAGCGTATTAAAGCAGAAGCAAAACGTCCATGGAGAAGAACTAAGAAATTTCTAACTTTTTTAGCTTTAGCTTTAGCATGGATTTTATTTTTTATCATTGTACGTAAAGTAACGCAAATTGAAGTTGAGCATACCGAGTATGATCCATACGCTATACTTGGCATCGATCAGGTAATTTTCTTGTGTTTACTAGCCTTAATCTCTTATGTTTTAGGATTTATATCCTTCATTTAGCTTATTTTTTGCAGCGCACTACAAAAGGATAAATTTTACACCACGAATTTTACCAGAACTGAGCCATTACTTTAGATCTTTTTTTTAAACGACAATCATTTATTTGTTATCTTAGAAACAGAATTTTTTAAGGGAGCGGCTAGCTCGGTTGTGAAAAAGAAATATCGCGAATTAAGTAAAACAATGCATCCCGATAAGGGAGGTGATCCTGTGCAATTTGATCGCATCGCAAAAGCATATCAGGCATTAACTGATGACGAAAGCAGAGAAAATTGGGAGAAATATGGAAATCCGGATGGACCAACTGGTAAGTTATAATTTGGACTTTACATAAATTTGGAATTATAACTTGTACTTTGTATCTCTCTGCACATATATGAATATATATGTATCTTCCACAATTGTCTTATCTACCTAGCAATTAAAATGAATTCCAGCGACTACGTTTGGAATTGCATTGCCGAAGTGGATAGTTAGTAAGGAATACGGTGTTTGGGTGCTTGCATTTTACGGCTTCGTCCTTATGGTTTTGCTTCCTTCAGCTGTTGTACGTATTTGCCGTTTCACTGGCCTTTAATGAGTCTTTTTTAACATTATGCTGAGATATTATGCATTTTCACTATCACTTTTGAAGGGGATTTGGTGGTACAATTCCATCAAATATAGTATTGATCAAGTATTATTGGATACTACGGAAATGTATTATTATTTTTTCCATAAAACACCGAAAATGGAAATAAATCGTAAGTATATATTTCTTTTCTTAGTAATATTTTCTTTTTTTTAATAATATTTGTTCTCTGAGTAGGCATGTAGGAAGTCGCGGATTTCACATTCTAAAAATTTTCAAAACAACGGATGTAGTATATATATTTAATACATACCTCTACAGTTATATATATATATATATATTATGTTACTGATTTTCTAGGAACTTAGTTCCTAGAAACATAAATATAATTATACAGGATGGACCGTATTTTTTAGGTATTTTAATGGTACTTGGTGGTTCATTTGAATTCTGGAGACAATACAATAAGGAAATTATAGAACGTGAAAGTGACGATATTGAGTTGCCACCACTCATCAAACAGTTTAAAAATTTAAGTGAAAATAAGAAGGAACGACCTCTTTGTTTGCCGTATTCTCTAAAGGCTCGCTTCTTTATCCATGCTCATTTGTCGCGTTTTACAATTGATTCATCCAATTTAAGAAGTGGTAATATATTTCTTAAAATATTTTGAGCTAACTTCGAAGATATTTCGAATTTTGTCTTCAAAAGATTCTTCATATTGCTTTGTAGTTTTTAGCTAGAAGTATTTTACAATAGTACCAATATCATATGATCGGTTATATCTAATACACTACGGTATACATTTTAGCGTAGATAAAGAGTATGTAGAATTAATGATTTTATTATACACTGTTGTTTTAGATAGTGCTTATGTGATTTCTAAATGCGTTATGCTTACCAACGAGATGTTAGCTATCGCCCAGCATTTATGTTTCTACGGTAATCCTGCACGTTGCCCATCGTTGGATACGATCGAAAACTTGGCAAAATTATTGCCAATGATTGTCCAAGCGCTGTGGCCAAAAAATAGTCCTTTATTACAGTTACCACATATCACAGAACAAAACTTGCATTATTTCCGCCGTGTAAGCGTATTTTCTATTAAAGATGGGTTTATATTCATGGCATTTCTTTTGTTTTATAAAAACTAGCTTTATAATACATAAAGGATGTAGTGCATTTATTTTTTTCCTAGTTAGCAAGTTTTTATGTTCCTAATTTCTTTTTTGGGATTTCATGGATTGGAAATAATTCATGTGTTAATTATACCAATTGTTAAGCTCTCTGGTGATGTTAAATTACTGTTCCAGAAATTCGCTTAGTCATGTAATTTTCTTTTTTTAGAATCGTATAATCACTTGTGCAGACCTTGCAAATCTAAACGAAATCAAGCGTCGTCAGGTATTGCAGTCGTTAAGCGATGCGGAATATAATGACATAGTCTTTGTACTGCAGTCTATGCCTAGGTTAAATATCGACCCTCATTTTGAAGGTAAGTAAATTCATTTTCATTTGATTTTTTAGTCCTCTCTATTTCATGTGTGTTGAGCGTAACCTTTTTCAGTGCAAGGTGAAGACGACGCTCAAAAAGTAACAGTTGGTTCTGTTGTTACCTTAAAGATTATTTTAACGAGAAGTTCGTTGTTAGATTTAAACAAACGGGAGGAAGAAATGCGCGAGATTAATGAGAAAGTATTGTTAAATGGTCTTTTATGAATTTTATTTGGACATATAGACAGAGTCTTTATCAATACAAATATTTCGTTTATTCACTAGAATTATTTTTATTGATAAAGACTCTGTCTGTATGATCGTTTTCATATTTTAAAGGACGCAGAACCAATGGAAATGATGGATGATGAGGAGGAAACAAATGAAGAAAGGGACAACAATGTGCCAAAGAGAAAAATATGGGAGAAGCCGAAGAAGAAACAAAATAGAACAAAGCCAACCAGAAACAGACAAGGACATAAAGTTAAAGTAGTAAAAAGGGTTGTGGTTAAAGTAGATGAAAACAACAAACTGAAACTAGAAGACCAAAAGAAGGACAGGAAAGAGAATAATGATGATATGGAGACAAATGGCGATAGCGAAAATGAGGAGCTGAGCGATTCGGAAAAGGGCTATGTTAAAAAGTTTGTTTTCAAGTTGATCTTTGTAGTTACAGTTCTTCTTATAAATGAAAAATAATTCAGTCAAAATATATTATGAATGAATATATCAGAATGTACAGTTAGTTATGTATTTTTATGATTTCTCAGATAACTGTATGATAAGTAGCTTTCTAAAGTATTTTGTAATCATTTCTTGTGTGATTTGGAGAAAGTATATTGCGTGATATGTTCAATTTCCCAAAAATGTAGCCGAAGATTTTATGCAAAACTTCTTACACAAATTTTTTTTGTAGCGGAAACGAGAAGGAAAACGGTAGTGGTTCTGAAGGAATGGATGAGGAGGAATCTGATAATGAAGATTGGGCGAATGAAAATATGGTGAAAAAAGAGTCTATTTTAGTAAGTAGAAGTAAAAAAACTCATGCAGTACACTGTCCTTTCTTTCCGGGAGAAAAATTCGAGTGGTGGTGGTTACTACTGGTTGATAAGAAACTTCGCAAGCTGGTTGTACCGGCAGTGCATTGCACAACACTTCTTAATGAGCAGACGGTTTGTTTTAAATGTTTTTCTGATCAGAAGAAAGTTCTACTTTTTTTTTTTCTTTTTGAAGATTGTGTCTGGGGTTGTTCTGAAATCGGAAACATGACCCAGGCGTTTGGATAAAGCAAGGAAAGCCGATGTATTATTCATCATTTTTCTTTAAAATAAATGTGGTTGCGTTAACGGTGGTGGTGATTAGTTAATTATATTCGTTAAGTGCCATTAATTTCAGGTAGAAATAAAGTTCGCGGCACCGCAGCACAAAGGCATTTATTACTATAATTTATTAGTTAAATCGGATTCGTATATGGATTGTGATTATTTGCTGGACCTAAAGGTCAAATTTTCTTTTCCTTCTTTTGCATACACTTCTGTCATGAATCATTTAGTACTGTAGAACTTTATTCTGCACAGTATGACAATTTTGTCAGGTAATTTTTATACGTTAAAAGAGAAAATTTAAATGTGGAACACTTTCGTTGCACTAGATACCAAAATTGTTTGTGCTCCCTTTATACTATTTTCAGTAATGGAAATTCTCTTTGCAACAACTCTTTTGTTGCAAGTTTTAAAAGACAGTAATATAAGCAATATAATTTGAATTTAAGGACTGCCATCAAATTGGTTCGGTATGAACTCATACATGTATGAAAAATAATGTTACGAATTAATGAATTCTCGAAAAAATAAAGGAAAAGCGAAGGGAAAAGATGAGGGAAGATCGCCAGATAGATATGGTGGTTGTGAACTTTTCCACAATCATTTTTCCACATTCATTCCAAGTGACCTCTATTAAATATTTCTTTGATTTTTAGTTAGATGTACACGAGGCGAAGGAAGTGCCTATAATAAAATACGAGGATTCAGATGAGGAAGAGCAGTTGGAGGATTCATCTGATTATACAGAAGATTCGGAATCGGAACGCGAATAGGACTTTGCAAGTTCATGTTGATTGTTGTGATATTACCAATGTTAGTGTTTTGTACAGATATTGACGGATTCTGTCACTTTTTTTTTTGTGACTTGATCCCTATGTCTTAAATTTATTGGTAATGGATAATGTGGGTATTTAATATCCCTGGAACTGGAAGCTCGAAGAGCATCTAATTTCCCGTTAATTCATGCTTGCCATGCAGTACTCAATGTAACTGCTAGACCTAGGAATTATGGGAAGAGGTTATCCAAAGTTGCTTGTTGTTTGACCGCAATCCCCAAAAAGGTAAGTTATTCTGTGATATTTGTTTTCTTTTTCTTTTTTTTTTTTTTTTTTTTGCATTAAAAATTCTTTTAGTGTGACTCTTAATCTTCACTATACAAATACTCTTGATTTTTATGGGTGCTTTTGAAAATTAGCAGTAATATTAAAAATAATAGAAGGTTGGAATCAGTGCAAGATAAATTTTCATATGACTTTTCATAAAAAGAAATAAATGGACTGGATCAACAGTTATAAATCCTAACTTAGAGATAACAAGTATTTCATAAAGTTAGCATTCTTTCACTCGCTCCGAAAAGGCACAGTATGTTTGATTTGGAAAGAATGCCATCTCATAAAAATATTGATTTGCGGAATCCTCACACATTTATCATGCAAATAATTCACGAATTATCACTTTGAAACTTTATGGAAGTTCCATAAATAAAGTGTATGTTTAATGATAGTTCACGTATGTTCGATTCTTTATTTTATGGAAGTTCCTACGAACTTTTGAGAATGCCATAGTATATGCAAAAAAAAAAAGCAGTTTGCATATAAATTGACTTTGCATATAAGTGCTAACAATGACTTGAGAAAAAAATTTAAAAAAAAAAAAACCATTTTCTTAAAAATGTAACTTTATATTATGAAATATTGTGAAAAAAAAAAAGTTACGAAATAGTGCAAACAACCAATCCACATAAAATTATAGGGGAGAACTGGTTTAGGATAGTGGAACAACAGCTTGAAAGGGTGGTAATTTTTGTCAGAAAAATAATTTTTACTAATCTAGATTCTAACTGATTCTTTTCTGTTCTTTGCTTATTTTGTCCGACAATCTAAGAGCATAATGAGCAGACCTAGGCATCCGAGATATTTAGGTATAATCTAGTTCTAAGATAAAATCACGATGTATTCATTTTTATAGATATTTTTATGCAGTATTGATGAAATAAGGAATGGAGGAAAAAGAAATAAAGAACCATAAAGATACTGAGATCTCGAACATCTCCAAACTTTTCCAGAAAGGCGTCTGAAAAATGAAGTTTAGAGTGGCGCAAGAAATCAGACACGCTGTGAGTATGCTGAAAAAATATGAAAAGCTCCCTTTCAACTCATTTCAAATTTCTTGTTTCAACAAGCAAAATTCTGTTGCATACAAAGTGATGTGCATAAATGACATTAGCACGTTCCTGAAAATTCATCTCTTTTCAGCGTAGTAAGCCGAGAGACGCATACATTGTATTGCTGACAACAATATGGCTAGTAGGCGCATTTTTAATTTTGTAAATTTTTACAAGTGAATAAATTGAAGTGATTTGAGATTCAAGAAAATCGACAATCACTTCAGAGAATGAATCATTAGAATTAAAGGAAATGAAAATGAAACATTTAAATTAAGGAAATCAAAGCTTGAAAAGCAGATAATCATCACAGCTAGAGAAATTTATACCTTTCTACACTTCACTTTGAGGACATACTCTTTGTTAAGGAAACCACTATCTTAGCAAGAATACCGAAACCTAATTATTATTAGCACGTATGAACAAACAATGCAATGAAGTCTAAATGTACTTACTTCGTATTGATCAAAAAGTTACTTTAAGACTAGCAGAAGCTGAACACCTGATATGCAATCACTTCCATATTTCTGCCCCATTATGAATATCAGACCAATTATTTCTTCTAAGTTAGACAAAACAGTGATAATCATCTTTCCCTCCGACTAAACTTCAAAGACAGTGTCACAAAACAACTGGAAGAAATACATGTCCGAATTTGAAAATTCGAAGTAAAAATCACATTAATCAACTTGTGTGACTGGCATACTGTGGTACCAATTCACCGAAAATATCTTCTATGAGTTACCTCTGTCAGATGATTTATCGAAGTGACGAACGATATCCGTCACAAGATCATGATGCTGTTTAACAACATTGTCCCAACCTGGCGTGGATGTAATGTTTCGTGGATGCTGGATAATAAATTCCACGGCACGATGTCTAAGACGTGGTGCGCTGTAGATATCCGAAACGATGAGCAATTCACAAACATTTTCAAATGTCAACGCCTATAAATGAAAAGACAAACATCTTTAAAACGTGGAATTTTTATTTCACAAGAATTCTCCAGTTCTCATGCAGATTAATGCTAATCATCTGGATTTTTCTATTCATAGATTTAGGCAAACAATGTCCTCAAAATTAGTATGAATTGACAAATGAAAAAAAAAAAAAAAAAAAAAACCAAATGAGATATTTACAAATCATCACCTGAATTAAGGCTTTCTCACAGTGACTTTTTAATTCTTCAAGCCGATACTTGTCTGCAGCAATTAATAAATCGGAAGCAAATGCGAATTCATTAACATCTCTCAAACAACGTCCACAATAAATGAAATTAAGCATTTCCGTAACTGTATCATATTCCAAATCTTCGATCACCATTATACCCTTAATAAGGCATTCCAAACTAAACAGTGAATACCATAATTTGGCACTTCGTTATGTAAATAAGCAAAGTTTTTTTATTTTATTTTATTTTATTTTTTTTTTTTTTTTGAAATCTTGTTATTCGCTCCATTGAACTTCGCAATAATTGAACAAAGCGCATACGAATTAAACTTACCGTTTTTGCTTCATTCGTATCTTCATGCCTTAACATAGCAGCAAAAACCGGAGATCTGGCTGCTAAGATAGCACGATGAACTCTAATCTCTCGCTCGCCTACTTTTATTGCGAAATCAGTCAAAACATTATCCTTCAACATTTTCAAATAATCCTCCGTTAGTTGTTGCTCGCTATTACTCTGGAAACGATCTTAGTAATAAACTCATATAAACTAATGAAATAAATACTGCTCTTTCATCCTTCACCTTTTCCACGCGAACGAAGAAAATGGGAAAAGTACAACATTAAAAAGTAAAATCGAACATTGTAATAAAACATTAAAATTCAACAAGCTCACAGTTAACATCTCCTCTAGCGTTGTCGTAACAGTTTCCACAGCTACATCTATTTCAACATTCACAATAATTGAATCATTTGGCAGTATCTGCGGAAAGAGAACATCTCGTTTTATATACGAAACATAGTCTGAATGGGAAGGGTTTGGATGAATACGCATTTCGATCTCTTTCATTTCGCTGGTACGTAAAATGAAGCTGAAAAGATAAAGCTCAATAATAATATTAAAACCTCACGGAATGAAATAATGATTAGTACACTGACACGAATATTTTCCTTATTATATCAATTTGAAAGTCAGAAAATGGCGTATTTTGCGATAAAAAATGCTTTCGATAATTCCAAACTAAAATCTTGATTCATTAATGCATTACTCATCTTATCTCGAACCTTTTCTAACATAAAATTATTAAGTTACTTACCGGGATTTGAAGCCAATTTTTCCATTCTTGCACGGTGCATTCGTATTACTGACCACTCTATTAAGGCATAAAAAGACAAAATCTTTGTTGTTTTCACCATTTCCCTTAGGATAAATTTTGATGGACCAGGTAAGGGTATCTTCACCGCGATGTAAGTGAACAAAATTTTCCAAATATTCCTGGTAACAATGCGAAAAATTCTTCACTGTCCAACTGTGTTTCACATGCTGAAAATATCTAACCATTAGTTTCAATTGACTTCATAACGCAATGAAGGTGCACTAAGCAGCTTTCGATCCAGAATTTAAACCCTTAAAAACCAAGTGACAATCATTATTCTAAACATTTCTCATGTTGTTTTCTTCTAAATAGTCTTCTAAATATTTCGATCATACTGCCATCTCTTTAATTAAAGTAACTTGAAAATTTTCTAACTTCTACCCTATTAAAGCGCTTAAATACAGCAAGCAAAGCATTATCAGATCTCAAAATTCAAGGATACTTGCAGAAAAAACGCAAACAATTGGCAATCGAAACCAAATAATCCAACAAACCTCAACTCTGATCTCAGTTTGCGAAGAATTTGAGGAGTGAGAAGCCAACGTCGATGAAGATTCAATTGGCATAGTTAACTCGGAGTTCGATGGCTCCATCCTTTTTAAAAATCCTTGAAAAATAAATTCAAAACAAACGGAAAGTCCAACAAAAAGGAACACTTCGAATAATTAACAGTTCTTTCACTATGAGTGGATATTAACATCGAACAGAAACGATTTACTGAAATACTATGCGATCCATTCGTTTAATGAAATGATTTCCTAATAACTTTTAGCGATAATAAAACCTCAATAACTACTACTACTGCTAATCCAGCAGCACAACAATACTAAAAAACTATTTTCATGAACTTACTCGAAAAATAAATAATTATGCGATGAAATCCTTAAAATACATTCACCAACAAATTGTTAATGTCAAATTTGCAAACTAAAAGTGCAAATACCAGTCAACTTTCCAGTAAGACAACATGAATTTTTAATCAAACTTGTGACCCTATAAAGCTTTTAATGGACACTGATATATAACAAAATAATCGACTTTTGGAAATAATGTGCTAAAACGACTTGTAAAAGCAATAAAGAATTGAAATATTCATCTGGTCAACATGAATTAACAGCTAAGCTGCTTATTGCATCATTTTTCTCAAAAAAAAAATGTTACCCGTCCATTTTGAGCATTTTGAATATGCTGAAACTTACATAAAGTATTTAAGAAGTTCAATTTAAAACAAAAAACATGAAAAATTCTAATAACACTATAAAAGAGGAAAATACAAAGACAACAAATATTGCCATTGAAAGCTAACTTTATATAAAAAGAGAAATAAATGACTATGTGGATAAATGACGAAATAACAAAATAACATCGATATGTTAATGCGCATAAAAAAGAAATAGTTGAGCAAAAGTCTCGCTTATGAAAGTTTTTCATTGTTGAGAGCAGAACATAATAATCGGCAGATCAGTTAACCCTGAATCCTTTAAATACAGCGTTACAGCGCTACCCAAAAGAACATGGAACGCTACAATTACTCACTAATAGCAGATCATCGCGGAATTTTGCGATTTATAAAGAAAAACGGTTAATTATGAGGAAGATAGCGTAGAATTAATCTGACTGTTGCAAACAATAAACGATTTATGAAACAGAAAGCTGAATCTTGTAAAACAATCACTGAATCTAAAAAAAAGAAAAAAAAAATCACTGAAACACAAAATACACTACCTTTTGAACTCATTTTTTTAACAAATATATTATATATTAATGAAAATCTTCAGGTAATTATGAATCTAAAACCAAATATGCAGCAGCTAGATCACAGACAATTACAGAGTGCACTAACTTTGTTGGATATATATAAGAAATAATTTATCACCAGAAATACATCTTGTCTTAATCTTAAAAAAAATTTTTTTTCTCGCGTTATTTTTAAGAAAAAATTTCAGACAATTCAAAACTAGTTAGAATTTTTTATTAAGCAAGATGAAAAACCCAAAAATGACAAAAAACGCTTCATAATTCTATTTATTATATCATTATGGTTTTCGGTTCGGAAAAAGTAAAGACAGTTAAAGTAAACTAATCCTGGCTTCAAAAAGTAGCAAAGCAAAAATTTGGAACAACTGTCATGCGATGATAGTAATTACTACTGTCACCGTATGATGTTGCGTTACGTAGTTTTCGCTACGCTGTGGATTGCAAAGATTTTTAAACATTCGGCGAGGAGACGTGGGAAATCAACGAAGTATTCAGAAGTGGTGGTGAAAAAGTTTCTGGTGTGGAAGCTTTAGAAAGTGAAGGAGATGAGGTACCATCTGATAGAACACGCCCTTTTAACCAATTTCTGTAGCGAATCATTCGCGGCGAAATGTGCAGAATAAGGGATAGAAGCGAACCGTGGTAACGTGCACGCCATACTGATGAATATTCGCGTGACCGAACAAATACTGCACACAGCGTAGCAAAGGCATGTTCAAAAGCTTGTCGAACTAATTGGATGTTATGCGAACAACGTCCGATATCGTTCCCTTAACAGCTCTTTAAAGTAATGATTTATGGAGTTCAAACTTTGAAGTTCAAACATCTTCAAAACTGAAGCTCATACTTCTTTTGGTTGTGGAAGTAAATGCTACTTTAATGTAATACATGCAAAGTAAATAGAATAGATAAGTCGGAGTTTTCATTATAAAATCAGTCTCCAAGAATACCAAAGAATATTCCTCGAAATGTAATTGAATTCTTGCTCGTACCTGATATAATTTTGAAAAAACTTCAAGTATAATTTTACTACCTGGTTGTAAAGGATCCTCAATACATAACATCGAATTTGATGGTCTATTCATCTGTACTAAAATTTCATCTTTGCAAACATACGCTCCACCGCTATGAATACGCAAAGCTGTTTTCATGTAATTGAATTCTTGCCCGTAAAGTTGCAAAAAATTAAGCAACAACACACCCATATTCACTTCCGTGATTCTCTTATATGAATAATCGTACGATGGGTGAAGCTGCAATTATTAAGTTATTACTGCGAATACTAATCACCTCCTACAAGACCCAATAAAACTAGCTAAATCTCGAAGAAACGACGAAAAATTCTTTACATCATTTATGAAATAAGCAAAAACTGAAATAAAGCAAATGTTTATAACATTATTCAGGAAATCAGCTATAGAAAAAGTACCTGCAAAAAGCTAATTAGCATTAAAATAAGCCCGTAAGATGATAAACCACCCGTAAATACCTGAAATATTTCATATCGAACGAAAGAAACAGCCAGATGAAGCCAGATGAAAATTGAAGCCAGATGAACATACACGACTTTTACAGAAAGCTGACATTACAAAGTTTTTCACCACTCACGAATCAGTAAAATAATGGTTTAAAAAAAGTTATTAGAATATATCATATAAAACGTACATTTTTAGAGTTTTGTAAAAAGGAAAAAGTAATAAAGTCCAAAATAATTAGTGATGTGGTTTCTAATTACAAAAAAAAAAAACCGCACTTGATTTAGCTGCCGCTGCATCAAAAACTGTTTGAGGACCAGCACTAGTGGCTCAAGAACGGGATATCGCATTTTCATATCCTCAATAAATTTTGCTGAACGAACACCCTGCACTGTATTGAATGAAATATCCAAGTATATCTTGGTATCCTTGTCGACCATCTTCACTATTGGTACAAATGCTTTGTCAAGCACATTGATTGATTCCGTAATTCCAGATTCTCTGAAAAATTAAGTTTAAAACGAGTAAATTACGTCCAACCAATGTCAAATCAATCATTTTTTTCCGGAAACCGCATCTTCAAACAAAATACTCAACAAGTGACAGTAATTATTTACATTTTTTATAAAAAAAAGGAAAATTTATATCACAACATAGCCTTACAAATCGAAAGATACAAACTTCAGTGCTATTGCCGTCTTCCAGAGAGGTGGTTCCTCGCTCACTAAGTCACTTTCCACAACCACATCGATGTCTGAGGTAGGTAAAAACAAGCTCGTGTATAGGCTGCCAAATACATCAATTTTTGCTGTCGGCCAAATTCGTTGCAGGACTCCACGAACTCGCTCGAATACACGAAGTCGTAATGCCCTTTCTAGTGGGGATGGCTTCAACCATGCATACAGATCTAATAATTCTTCGTGTAGCCTACAATTTCTATACACTTTCATATCTTAAAATCTCCACTTCGTAGTTTTATTCCAACAGTTTTTGAAAACTGTTATAGCCGCTATAGGTAGCTATAAATGCAAAAAACATTTGCTGCTAAATCGGAAATCCGACTTCTTATGAAGTCGAACCGATCTTTCTTATGAAAGATAAACCGAAAGCAGATGACAACTTACTTTGAGTTGAACTTAATATTTCATTTATTCCTATTCACTGTTGTATTTTATATTTCTGCATTTATCAAAAAACTATTTCACCTTTTCAGAAAGAAGCATACTAACCCTCGTAAAGAAAGAGCATATCTTCGTCGACACCACGGAGCAATCAACGCAGTACCTTCTCTTGGCGGCCAGTACACACGATCTGATGAATCTGCTGTGAAATTCAGTGCTTCTTCCTCCCCCTCCCCCTCCGAACTACTCCTGGAAATTTCTACAGGATGACATTTCAACTTTCTAATTTTATTTAAGTCAAATGTCGGTGAGATAGGATTTCCATTACTCCATTATCCTACAAGATGAAAAAAGAGGAATGAGAAGAAAGAAAAGGGACCAAATAACTAGCTTACAATTCATGTGTCTGAAAGTCGCCCAAATCAAAACTGAAATGTTATGAAGAACTACAGCTAAAGGAACTGTGAAAGAATAGAGGAAACTGAAAAATTAACTTACGAAGGAACAGAATCGCACTGATCAGCCACCTTAGGAGTGTTATCTTTCAAAATCATCTTAAACTCCTAACCAAATATGTTCTGCTGGAAACTGACCAGTATACGTTCATTGATCCATTCCTGTATATTTGATTGATTAAAATCACACAAACAAAGAATTTAAGAGACAATCTGAACTGATTATTACTGCATACTCGATCCGGTTTTGTACTCCGTTTATCATAAGTTTGTGGAAGCGAGAAAGAAATGGGAAAGTAATACATCCCATTCCCATGAAGTTCATAAAATTCATTTGATTCACATGCAAATTTCTTCTGGTCTCTTTGAAATGCAATTATGAGAAGACTTCGGCGCACTGTCTCCTAAGGACAGAGTTAACTGAGACATTGTATTAAGTTATCCAACCTATTCTTCCTTGCTGTCAGTACTAACGGCACCACAAACTTACCCTCCTCCCTTAACTTCCCACTCTGATCCTTCCTGACATGAAAGAGCCGACCACCACAATTTAACGGTCATAGCGGCCTGTTAGAATAAGTTTGAGGTATGGAAAGAAAGCATACAAGCGACGAGCTTTGCTTACTCTTCGCGATTTCCGGTTGGTGGGATGATTCGGCCCACTGTTAAAAACAAATATCATCAATAAATATTGACATGTAAGATGCAAGTGGGATGTTCATCTTCGTTGGTACGCCTTCTGGATAGTTGCCAAAAGGTAACTTTTTTCTTTGTTTACATGAAATATTTGGTTGTGTGACAGATGTTACCTTTTACACATTCTCATCATGGAGCTACACCTATTCTTGTCACTTCTATTAGTCAGTGAATGACAGTAAATGACACAAGTTTCAGTCGTAAATCGAATCATGTTAGTCGATTAGGTTTTCTTGGTATTAAGTTTCGTTGGTTTTATGTCTCCTTTCTTAAATTTTCTTTTCGCCGTCGCGGTAATCAAATCATTATATTTATGTGTATGTGAATATTTTCATTAGTATTTGTTACTATTAAAGTTGGTAACACGTAGTTTAGAAATGTTACTGTTTCTGCTGTGCATTGCTTAATATTACACGCCATTTTAGAGTATTCAAGAACTTGTAATGACTTGTTTTCCATATTTATTGAATTTTTAGCCATGTACCCTAATTAGAATTTCTTGAATATATTGAAAGTTGTTTATAGTTTTGAAATATATATTGAAACAGTTAACATTTCATAGCTTTTTCAATCAGCGGATTTCATATGTTAATCATCGTTTTTTCCTTTACGTTAGTAAATCTTGATTTCAAATCATATATGCTCAACAAATAAGTTCGATTTATAAAATCAGTTCCGTTATTGAACAAAGCACGCAGTTTTATTTATTTCGTAAATCAAATAAATTGTCGCACTACTTCACTTCCCATGCATATTTGTGTTGTGTGAAAAATATCTCCAAAATAAACTGGACCAAGTGAGGCACTAGAAGTAGGACACTTCAGTTGCATTTCTATATTGTTGCTGCATTCCCTATTACAGTGTATCACTAATTTCGACTACTGGATTATATATGAAAAATGGGCTTCTTGGTTTCCAAACATGTTCCGCAGGTATATTCGTTTTGAAAAGATAAATTTTACCTTGTCTTTTATCGAAATAAGGTAGGTGCTTGATTGGAATATAGTTTCAATTTGTTAACTATGGGAAAATAACTTAGTTTTCACAGTTAACTTGAACTCAAAAAATCCTAGAAGTTATTGCCGTTTAGCAAAATTTACTAAGCAAATGAATAAAGAAATCATTTCTATAGCGAAACACGTGCTTGTAGAATATAGAAGTGAGCATGAAAAGTTTCTTTTAAACAAAAATCTTTCAAACCTAACTTCTAGGATATGAGTGAGGTACAACAATTTATTGACGAATTGATTGCACTGAAAAAAGTTAGTTCCCAACTTTCATCTTTTATTTTCAAGAAGATTACCAATGTTGATTATCCTTATTTTTAAGATACTACTGATGACGATTACAGGAAGATTGTAGTTTGAAATGTTAAAATATTTAATTCCATAATCTTAACTTGTTTTTTGAAATTAGCACCAACTGTTTTTTAATTCTGATTTCCATTAATTTCAATGTGATTCCCCATAAAAATGAACCTAACTAATACAGCTGGAATTGGGATTTAAAAAAAAAAAAATCTTTGATATTACTACTATCTTTACAGATAGTAGTAATATCAAAGAGTTGGTGCATATATTGTAAACGAACACGTAAAGCGCTTGCCTCGTATCCTCTCGAAGGAGATGCAATGGAATGGATCGACATCAACAAAAGGTCTGATGGAAAAGAAATTTTGGATTATATGGAACAGATAACTGGATCAAGGTTATATTAACGCTATTTTATCGAATTGTTTTTAGTTCAGGAACCACGGTGATGCTATGGAATGTAATCACATTCTTTCATGTCTTTTTCTCATGAAGAGTTCTTCAACAGTGGTGGTGCACTAAGTAAAGAAGCCATCATTGGAAAAAGTAAAACTGAAAAGCATAAACGTGGTTCAGACCTACAAGCCTCAGTCTATGTGTTTTTAGGGGAATTCACCAAATTTTGTTCTTTATAAAGATTTTTAGGGGAATTCACCAAGTTTTGTTCTTTATAAATACATTTTGAATGATGCAAACAGAAGTATAGTACTTAAAGATGCTCAATAACTTTTACTTTCGATTTAGGTTTGGATTCGTACAGTGAGGTTCCAATATCCACTTTAAAATATATGGTGTCTTTAATATTTATTTTCAGAAGAGTGCCGCGAATTTTCATCGGCGGTGAATTTTTTGGAGGTTGCGCTGAAATTTGTGCAGCAAAAAGGGACGGTATCTTAGAACGCAAGCTTACTGCAATTGGGGCCATATGAAAAAATTGAAAACAATTGAATTTGAAGATTTACAGAACAGTGCGTGTCCATATGACTGCTCAAATAGTTATTATACTTTAATGGACTTACCATTGGATACTTTTTACGAAATAATCACTTGATTTCCTTGCTATGAGTAATAAAACTTTCAAGTGTAAGAATTTCAAATGTTAATAGCACACAAAACATACTGTTTCTGGAGAATCATAAATTTCGCTCATTTTTTTTCCGCATTTGTAATATTCTGCAAGTGCGTTTTTTCCTTAAGAGCAACAAATGATACACTTTTAGGTGTATATGTTCTTTGGCTGAGCAGGATCGTCAAAATACAGAGGAGGCTTTATGAAAATTGGGATAGTACTGCACGGCTAAGTAAATAGTCAAGTATGGATAAAGGACAGCTGATGTCAATGTGACGAAGAATTGTAACTCTGGAATATTTTTATTCCAGGATTCTTGAGCAGAGTGGTCTAGAGTAGTAGTCTGCACACGACTTCTTAACATTGTCAAATTCGACATAGTGGCAATAGCGAAGATGTAGATTGGTCAGAGTTAAATGTGTGCTAGAACAACGGATTAGAACAAATTCAGTTTATCATTGAAATAGTCAGAAACAATAAAGAAATGTTTTAGGAATAAAGTGAACCTATCAGTAAGTCTTCATCCTCGCCGTCATTTTGCCCCATATTTAAACTTCTCCTTATACCGTATGCACGATTACTACGGGCTAGACCAGTTCGTTGTCGTCGGCACTGCAGGACGATCACCACCAGTAGTATGATGAACAGGATGGAAACCACAGCGATAAGCCATTCATTAAACAGCACAGATGAAAACAAAGATGTAGTAGTAGCACTGGTTGGACTAACCTTATCCATTCCAGACCAAATCGCTGATTTCATTTGTTCCTCGCGGGGCACATTCATGTACCCATTATCCTGCCATTTCCTAAAGGCTTCATATACAGGATATACTAGAGTTGTTTCATGACCTCTGTTAAGCCCATGATACGATATTTAATTACAACAGATACCTTCGCGAAGCACTCATTTTCACAAATTGATCTAACCTTTTATTACAGTCTATTTCATCGGATCCATCAGTACACTGTGCAATACCATTACACAGATCATACTGGGCAATACACTGGCCATTATAGCACATCCACTGCCAGGGACTGTCACAAGTTAAGATCTGGGCTGATGCACACTGCATCACTGTCTCTGAAACTACTGTCACATTAGCAAGACTGCATTTGACAGCAACAAGTTAAGTCGTCACTTTTCCCTTCTCTTACGTTGCGCTTTAAGACTCTGATATAATGTATAGGGCACCGCAACTGATCAATTCTACAAGGCTTCGCAGGTATTTCACTCCACGTCGGCCTAAGGCTCTCCTTCTTTGTGTAAACACATCCTTGTAACGGGCAGTTAGGTTATCGATCCCAGTTATCACTGTGGTGCTTGAGAACAGGCCAGTCTACTCTGCTGCTAATGGTTATAAAAGAATGACAGATTTTTATTCAACAGCGAAGATAGCATTAAGATTTACAGAATTATCTTTCATAATTACCTCTGGCTTGAAGTCCAGTGATCATGTTCCATGAATTCCTATGCGTTGCAGACAATTGTTCAAATGACTTGCATTGCTTAAGAATAAAGGGAATATCAGGGAAAATGTATTTCTATCGATTATTCTCTTGAAATTTTAAAACTTTTAAATTAGAACTGTCCATCGACTTTAATGCAAGTGACATAGGTGTTTTATTACATCCTGATGTGAGTTATGGACTTTCAAGCTTCATATGTGCAAATAGCAGCAAAATTAACAAAAAGTGAGAAAATCACGACTGACTGATGTAGTGTTTGTTTCTCGTTATCTCACACAAAGTCAGTTGCTTTTGTAGTCATAACCGTAATGGACCTTCCAAGTGACATAAATGTCCAGCTTGCCGCTGCAGTCGCGTATTGTTTTCGAAACCTTCAACCGGTAAGTGGTTTTGTTAAATTATTTTTAATTTGTGTCGTTTTTTTTTCCGTTAGTTAAATATGACGACAAGACAATTAACACAAAAGTGGGAGTAGCAATGTTTTTATCAGGTCACTGATCCGTTTAATATTTTCGATCTTGAAATAATCACTTGCCCGAAATTGACCACAAACAAATTGTAGATGTCAAGAAGTCAGAATGCACAACAATGGCAAGTTTCTCAAAAAATGGAACAGTTTGCGCGAAATAATTTTACTACACGAAAAGCAACATCTAATTCAAGAGGATTGAGGCAACGTAGAGCGCAAGCCGATCAGAAGAATAAACAAGTTTTGTCGCAACCCATCCATTTGTAAGCTATCTTTATTTGATTCCATTTTCTCGATAATTCGATCCATTTATTACTTCAGGCTAAAACTTTCATTTATAATCTTTCAGAATTGAATTATAATGAATGATAATTCATAAGCAGTTATGTTGCCACACTACCATGTTTAGTTTGAGTAATAAGTGATTAGAAAACCGAGTCGTCATTTTTACCAAACAATCCGTTTCTTCAGCACAGAGTTATGATGCTCAAGATGGTATTATAACATTACCTAATGTAAGTAGCGAAATAATCACTATTAGTTATTAATATGATAAGATGCTAGTTCATTTCACTTTCTTATCAGCTCTGTTCTTTATACGTGGAAATTACTTTTTTTAGTGCAGGACTCCAAGATAATGTTGTTTTTAGGACTCTAGATAATGTTGATAGCCGATCAGTATTGTCAGAGCCATGTTTGAGAAATAAGCAAAATATGGTGTGGACAGGAACGTCAGCTACGAAAATCGGTATTCCAACTAAGATTACTGAATGGAAAAATAAACTGGATCATTTAAGTTTTTTGTTCAGGTAAGATTATGATCATTTTAATTTGATTATTGCGAAATAACATGTAATTGGTTCAATCTCATCGAATATTTCTAATTAAAGAGTCCGACCAGCTTTTTGCCTGTTGAGGGATCATCAGGAATGGTTGGTGGAAAGTAGGAAAAAAATACAGCTGGCACAAGCAACACAAGTAACAAGTGTTTTTTCATTATCCGATGCTGTAGTTTTGCCATGCGATTTCATTCTTTGTCTTCCTGATATTTTGGACGAGCTTTGTAGTAAACAAATTCATTATAGATAAAAAATCATAGCAAAGCTTTTAGGTTTCACTTTTAGGTTCATAATGTTATAATGAATTTCTCAGAAAATGAAATTTTTATAGAATGAATAAGACATTAGTAGAGCAATCATAATTTAAAAAAATAATGCATACTTACTTGATGTCCTTAATTTAGAGATTACGTGGAACAAAATTGAGTATCGAATGAGACCAATTTCTTATTGCCTGCGGATCATAACTTTTTTCTTCTATAAACCACAAATTTTCTTTTTTTTTATTGTAATTATTTAGTTCACTCTGCAATGGTACTGTATCTGCAATCCAAATATGTGCAGATCTTGACGTGGGATTTCGTGATCTGATTACCTTTTTATGTTACACTTCTTCAACTAGAAGACCTGCAGCAGTTTTTGCTGCGGTGGAGATGTATGCTGGGTCTTTGGTGAAGCTGCATCAATACTGTATCATTAATGCTAATAATGTATGTTCCAAAAATTGTTTAAATGAGAAAAGTGTATTGTTTCAAATTATCGTTATTCAATATTGGGATTGATATTTCTGACTTTTGATCTTATCCGCTAATTGAAGGTTTCCAATGGTAGGTTTGAATATTTTTTGGTTACCGAACTTACCAAAATTATTCACAAATTGGACCGGTACAATACACTTTTTATTCTGATATTAGAGGGTTTTATGGTATTTTTCAGAGCTTCGAAAGACTTTTATATACAGCAATTCATGAAGTGATATCATTCTGGCTTCGATTCTTACATTATAATAATTTGGACAAGTATAATCGGTTCTGGCTCCATACACGAGCCGTTATCACGCGAATGTTCAGAAACATTATCATTCAGGAATGCATTCTTGCTATTAAACATAGTTTAGCTGCAATGCTTAAAGAGTAAGTTTTACGATGTTTACGTCCTGACAAGTACAGACTCATTAGTTATCTTCAACTAAGTTTTTCTAGATTTGCTTAAATGTTTCTACCGAAATTCAGTAATCGTTGTCGATGTAGCACTAGTCTTGACTAGATTTGTAAGGGAAGATTATATTATAACAGTGGTATGGAAATCACTGAGAATCTCTACTATAAACGATGTTCATTAACTCAGATTAACAATGCTCGTTCTGGAAAATGGCGAATGTAACTATGGCTTTTACGCATGCGAACAAATCGAGTGTTTGATGCTTGTGTTATCACATCATACATCATATGTTAGCTACTAAGCAACTCAGTACAATGCATTATTTGTTGCTATTATATGAGAGTTCATTTTGGGATCCATCTCTTTATTGATTTCTTTGTGAATCACTTCTTTCGAAAATTACTTTTCCTCAGTCTACCGCTCACTGAAATGTTATGCTTTTAAGTAAATGAATTTGTTAACTGTTTGTAATAAAAGAGTTATGGAAGACAGCATATCGACTCGTTTTGTTGGAATTTCCCGGATGGGTGCATCTTTTTTGATGCTTAGTTTTTAATCTCTCAACGAATATATTAATCAATGACTATTCACTGATATAAGTCTCATGCTGCCAAGCAAGTTCCTGAAAGGCCTCTAAAAATTTAAATTTAAGTTTAAAGTTCAAATTTAAAAAAAAAAAAAAAAGTGCTCAAATTGGTCTACGCTCTTGTCACCGGGAAACATTTAAAGCCGCTGCCATCGAATTCCGAAATTGGCTACACGGCCAGTTTCGAATTTGTGATTCTATTATTCCAGGATTGGCATTATTGGCGGTGCGGAGTTTTATCTGAGAATGTTGGCGTGACGTGTGATATCTTACCCTAATGATAATGTCTCGTCTTAGTGGGAAAGTTTAGGTGTTAATGGATATAACCGAAGTGGAAACAATTCGGAAGCCTGAGGTGTCTAACTCGTCCATGCCGCAGCCATCTAATGTGAAATTTAACGCCCCAGATAACAGGTAAATGTTAAAATAATTAGAATAAGATAAGGTTGGACTGCTCTTGAAAGTCTAACCCTTCAAAGCTACTGCTTAATATGATTCCAATGCAACCTTTAAAAGATTTCGATTTGAAGTGTTGAGTTTGTACACTTCGATATATCTTCCGATGGTTTAGTGATAGATAAGATCCAGCAGATTTAAGGCTTAAGTTTTTTGAAAAAGGACAGTATGGTTCGAAGTTCTATAGCTGGTCACAAATTCAAATAAGTCCAGCTGTTATGTACAGCGGTAGAGATTGAGTTCAAAAGTCATTATTTAATCGAATCAAATTTTTCATCAAATTTGAATTCAGGTGCCAATATAATCAGTCGTTCTGTTTCGACTAATAAAAAACAAAAAAGATTGCAAATGTTGATAACTTTAATGAACAAAATTTAGAGACTTATATGATGAAAATGGTTCGCTGAAAGTGCGGCGTTCCAATCGAGAAATCCGAAAACCCAAATTTGATGACGAAATTGTTGATAGTATTTCTACGGCTAAAATAGTGCAAAGAAAGAGGCCAAGCTCTGAAAGGTTGCATCATTCTCCGGAAGCTGCAGATCGTTTCGTGGTATGCTTCATATCTTTCTCCAGAAAATTTTTGGTGATACTTTGCAATGTGTACATTTTTGATCTTTGTCTCATTTTAACCAGGAAGTCCTGTTCTGCCTTATACTATATTGCTTAAACGGAAGATATTTGACCAATTTTTTACTTCAAATACACGACGGCTTCTATTTTTTCATCTGTTTATTTTCATTACAGGAAAAAACTCAGGCGGCGACCCGAGTGAAACTTGGTAAGAGGCAGTGGCGTACTACAGAAACGAACGTTGGAGCTCCTGTTGAAGTTAAAAGTTTTAAGAAGTTTCCAGCAAAACCCGTTTGCCAGACGCAGTCTGTTGTTTTTACAGATAAAGTACGCATTTGATATTCAAAATGCCGAAAATCGAAAATCTTAAAACCTTAAATAAATGCAAGCTGTCTTACTGAAATCATATTTGTTACATAGATCTTTAAATATCGTAAATAATAAGGTTTATACCTTTAAATAATTTAGGTAACGTAATGTTGGCTTGATCAAATTTTAGAATAGTTTTTTTTGGGGGCTTAAAATACCTGTACGTTAAAAAACAAAAGACATTTTAGAAAAGACGTGAACGGTCTACAAGTAAAGAAGCACGAACAAAGGAGTTAGCAACGTTAGCATCACATACAGCAAATTTCGGTATCGGTTTAACCGAATCGTTGAAAAAATGGACTGCACTAGATGATGTTGCTCTTATAACAGCAGTAACTCGGGTATGGTATTAGACAGTAATCTTTTAACAATTCAAATACAGTCACAGTTTTCTTTTTTATAATTATTTTTGTGGTCTAGTTTTCTGAACTGTTTTACACTCCAAAATTTTTTCACAAAATGTTCAGGTAAGCAGTCTTGCTGCTGTTCATGGAGCCGTTCGTTTTTCACGTCCTTTTACTCGAGCTGAGATTGAAGAAAGGTGGTATGAATTACTATACGATGAGGTTTTTTTTGGTTTAATTTTGAAGAAATGTGCCACATAGCTTAATTATTCAAATGGGAGGAGAATAGGTTATTTATTGCCTAACTCATATTTATCGCAGCTATTGTTTTCAGTATAATTAAAATTCGATCGCTTATTGTGCAACTCCATCTTATGATTACATTTTCCATTTGGATTGGTGTATATAATAAATACCTAGTCTTGATATTGTACCATTAATAGTCCCGTACTGCTTTGCATATTCCTCTGCAGCTTTGTTTTCTACTTAATTTGAGTTAAAGTCTTATCAGGGAAAGTTTCATAGAACATGAACTTAACATTGTTATTGAATTATATTTAGTAACCTCTTACCAGTTGTGAATTGATTCATCGAACAGTAGCTTCAGATAACGATTGTTATTATTCTCCATCCAAACTGTCACTGGCCCATATCTTGTGTACTTTAGCAGCTATAATCTAATCTGGTGGATAATTCTATTTGTTAATCTTTTAATGTAAGGTTATGATTACAAAGAGAACACGCCATCCTTTTTTCTTAATATGGATTCGTCATTCTTCAGTAGCATATATGGTTTATACGCCCCTTCACTTTTAGATGCCAATTTCATACTTCGAATTTTTTTTATTCTAGATTCTATATTTCGAACTTGTTTTATTCTGGATTTGTAGGAGACTATAAAAATCAATTATTAGAATAACGATTATATCTTCTTGGACTTAATTGAAGTGTCTGGGTGGAATACTTAAAAGTTGTAGGTTTGTTAGTTTTAATCTTTTCTAGTCTTGGTTTTCTGGGTTCTAGTAAATTTTTGCCAAATAGAAATCTGCAAAAAAAAAAAAAAAAAATAAATTGTTTTAATAGGCATCTCAATAAGTTTTAGGTCGTCTCGAATGTTGCAAAGAGGCGAATTGCAGATCTTTCTGTGGAGACTATAAGTGCAGTGCAATCAAGAACGGTTTTTACTGTTGAAGAAGAAGAACTGTTATCAGCTATTCCGTCTGCAACTACCGGTACTGATCTTGCAGTATTTGAGCAGGTTGGAGATTACTTTCTTTTGTGTTTTTTGTTTGTTCTCTGATTTCCAGTTGTCGGATTGTCATTGGCAAATTTTAATTGTTGTCACATCAAGCTAACTTCAGCATTACGATCTAAAGTAAAAAAGTAGTGATAACATTAAGAAACTGCAGAGAGTTTAAGGAGTTAATTATAATACGGAAATAATAAGGACTGCAATGGGATTTATTTGTAATCCCTGTTAAAATTGTTAGCAAAACTCAAAATTTTAAATTTATAGGTGTTGGAACGAAATAAGGAAGCATTCCATCATGCTCGTACTGCATATGTTTTACAACAGCATTGGTTAGAAATGAAGAACTGGGATTTATTGCAAGATCAAAGGAAGGCTAGCAATCGTGTCCTGGATTTTGCGGAAATTGAGCAAAGCCTGGAATGGAATGGCGGCTGGGATCGGCATATTAGTTTCGAAGAGACGCGTTTGTGCAAGGCAGCAGTTTTGACCGAACGTGCCTGGCTTGAGTGGGAAAAAGTTATTTTTCTGTTTGTAGTTCGGAAGATAATCGTAGTACAAACTTTTTTCCTCTCCTTTAAATTAGATAACGCTGAACGACACACTGTTAGGTAGTTAATTATGCACTGTTGGTTGAAACTTCTGGAACTACTTGATTCCTTTATTCAAAATGGACATTTCCAGATACATGTTGAAGCTGTAAGTGGAATATCCGACGATTCACAAATGGGCGAGGGTGTTTGGGGTGTTTTGAAGGGGCGTGTAGTGCGCTATTTATTGCGGGGCGAAACTATTCTAATAGGTCGCAATACACAGTTTCATAATGTATGTTCCAACCATCGTTATAAAAAGGAACAGAAATGCAACACAAAGTTTAACGCTCATATATATTATGGCAATAATAGTAATTAACTTGAAAAAAAATCGTTTATTTCTTGGAGTAAGAGTCGAAATCTATATACAGAAACACATCTTTGGTTGAGCACAGCTGCCTTTGTCGTCTGTTATGCATTATCAGTTTGAAAACAAGAAAATATTAGAAAACCTGCATTCGTAGATTATGAAATACTAACCAAACACATCATACTTGAAATATATATATGAAATACAAAGTTTTGAATGAGTAGAAAGTAAATGAATCTTCTAACAATATTCTTAGAATCAATTGAGTCGCACTTTAATCAGTATAACTAGAAATACTAACAAGAAAAAGGAAGTTTGGAGAGCTACGAGTTTTCCTCTGATACTTCCATAAGTAAAGTTTCAATGTAATGAGTCAGTGTATAGACTTGCTCACAAACTATACTTTGCAATTTCAGGTTGATATTAATCTGGCTCTAGAAGGACCGGTTGCAACAATCAGTCGAAAACAAGCCATTTTGAAAATAATACAAAATCAGCAAGCCAAAACAGTGGAAGTATTCTTATCCAATGTTGGAAAACCTCCCATATATGTCGATGGTAAAACGTTGCTAAGTGGTGATAAAACAAGACTATTTAGTAATGGACTGATAGAAATCGCTCAAATACGTCTTCAGCTGTTCATTGCTATAGCGTGCACTAGTAACGGCGAAAATAGTAGCAACAGTGATAGCCAACAAATCGGAACCAAACTAGCACCAAACGAGCAACAACCGTGTAAAGCATTATCATCCATTGTTCTACCACAGCAACTGACGTTTTGATTATAATGGTCTTTATTATGTATTCGATATAGTTGCAAAAGATTCTGTTGGTAGCCTAGAAGTATTTCATTTCTAATTAGTCTTTGAAATCTTGCAAGTTGAACAATCGGGGGCGCTTTTCGCAAATTTTGGATTATATGAAAAGATAACTTTTGAAGTAGGTACTGTTCGAATCTAGAAGTTATTGTGTGCTCTTTAAGCACTATGCTTCGATTTGTTTGTACCATTCAAAATGTAATTTATAGGGAATAAAACTGAGGGGAGTTTCCCGCACATAGTATTACTGTCCCACTCTACATCTTTTTTAAAGACATTGTTTGTGATTGACTTTAACTTCATGTGATTTAAAATCTACCTTTGTGTTTGCGCTTTTACTACAGAGAGAGAGTCAGAACTGAGCTGTTTTGGAAGTGAAATATGGGAATTGTCGTCACGACTTATTTTATGTTGTTTAGCAGCAGTTGGCAACTTCTTCTGGTTACCCATATTGAATACGAAATTTCGCCAACCAAGACGTCTTGAACCCTGCAAAGCATTAAAATTCAATAGAAAGTCGGTAAATTCTTAATATGTTAGCAATGATGGCCATACAGACGTCGGAATCATTTATTTCATAAGAAATACTTGTTGCTGAGCTGCTGAAAGTACTCCCATATAGATCTGAGAGCGCAAAAATCGTGGGTACGAATCTTTGCTCATCAAAGTGAATATATGTTCCTCAGCTGGGGAAAATGCATGCCGTCTGGCCACCAATTTATCCTGCAGTGATTTCATTGTAGCTTCTAGAGTACGTGAATCAACATTTACCTGAAAATGTAAAAATTACTGGTCGTGTTCCATTACATATTAATTCTCCATTCCGAAATAATACAGTATGCTATAAGGATGACTTGAGCTAAAGGGGTTCTTCCCTTTTTAATTATTTTGTGTACCGAGGACATTACTCGTAGCCAAGATTAAAAGAAAGACACACTCTGGAAGTACTCTGTGGTAGAATGCAAAAAGGAATTTGACTGTCGACTTGAAAAACATGAAACAAAACTTTAACTGCAATTAACTGTAGTGTAACAAATCTCGAAAAATATACCTGACAAGGTGCACCGGACGATAAAAACTCTTCATAAATACGCTGCGCCTTCCTTTCTACTTGCTCATTAGTGGAAAACTTCAAATCTTGAATGGCCATCCAAAATCGTATGTTTTCAGAGGAAAATTCGCTTTCTAGGAATGTTTCAAGAACCTGTCGCCCAATGGGATCGCGAACGAGCTCCTGTATCGAAAGGCCCCATCGTTTAACCCGTCGTTCAGTCGGTACTTCTACCCTATAGCAGTCTTGCACAGAGGAAACTTTTTAGAATTTAATACAAGACACATGTAGTAAAAATTTAGAACGAAAATTTTCTTCTGCTACTACTTATCTTAAAGGAGGAGTTCACCAAGAAGCAATCGATATGACACTTTATTAACAAGAACAATATATAAGCAGTATATTGTTTTGGGGAAACTTCTAAGCATCTTATATATTTGGTTAGTGAATATTTTATACTTTATTTTTAAACTTTATAAATAAATAATCTTTCATGGATGCAGGACAATATAATACGACGCACTATTATTTTTCAATTAGTGCAACTTACGAATCGGTATTTAGCACCCATAAATTAGTGTCATCAGATATCCACGGATTACTAGGCTGTGGAGTTGATATAAAAGGATCGTAGTCATGGAACTGTTCACACCAAGACACCATCCTAAATTTTTTAATGTCATTTGATAACTTTATCTAAACAGTACATGCCTATATTAGCATAAAGAAATATTATATCACTTTCCTTATATCTGAACTTTCCACTACCAACACCGGCATGAAAAAAATTTCTTAATATAGCGATGTTTTTGAATGTTTGCATTCCACTTCTTCGTTAAAGAGAAAGCATTTTTTTCATATGTTTCTCATTTTTTGTTTTATGAAAAAAAAAAAAGTAAGAAAAACAGTGAATGCCTACGTTTCACTCGCCTTAACAGCCTTCAACCATGGTTTCGTTTTCAAAGTGAATTTCAATCGCTCCAGTTCTGTTCGATAAACAGCAGCAGTACGCTTTCGTAATTTCTTTTCTCTCTTCTGAAAATGTGTGAATTCAGATCGATATAGTGAACAGTCGTCATAAAGGTCAGCAAGTATTTCCTCATTATAGAAAAAAATTGAAGAAACAGCTCCATCTTTATAAATAAATTTTTTTTAAACAATCTGCTTATTCAAGTATAACATTTTAGTCCAAATTTCGGAATAACGCTTTCTATCTTTTCCAATGTTTCTAGGTTTTTAGATAAAAAGATAACCTGAATGTGTTGCTCGAGACAATTTGCTTGTCCAGGTCTTCGGGTTCTCCAAAATGCCCTTTCTTCACTATCATATACAACTTTGTCACTCTTTTTCTTTTCCTGCAAACATATTCCTTACACACTTTGTTAATCCAAAAACTAATTATTCATCAAACAAGTTTACTGGTAATTTGGACTTGATTACTTGATTATTAACGCAATAACTTTCATTGGAGCGACATAACATACTGGTCAGTAATTCAACTACCATTAATAATAATATTGATATTATAACTGATTTCATAATATGAAATTAAAATTTAAATTTATTCAATAATAATAATTGATAACTTGACTACTAAAGTGATAAGAACTTAATCAACGTCACAAAATAATAGACCTTCTGAATTTTCAACTGCATTTCAGCTTGAACAGTAATAAAATCCCACATATGGCCAAGAAGCTCGAGAAGTTTATTATATGCTTCAACTTCATCTTCTTCCAAACCATGCTTCTGTTCATTTCGCATTAGCCGTTTACTAAGGTAAATTGCTGAAACAAAAGACAGTCACTTTAACATCGACAGTTTTTTTCTGGGTTTTATTTCTCAGTAGCAGTTTCTCTCTAGCAGTTCTATTCTTAATGAACAAGATCTTTCTGCAATTGACATGAAGTAAAATATGAAATGAAAATTAATACTATTTGTTATTAAATGGTGATCGACGTAGTAGCGACTTTTAATAATTTATGAAAAAATCTTACCATATTCTACATTATCAGTGTGAGTAGCATGTGAGGGCCAGAAATATGGCAGTTGCAATCTGTATAATGTATTATCGTCCTTCACAAGCAGTGAATGCTCGATCACAGGAAATATATAACCGTGTTGAAGAAGTAAAGTTGCCAAGTGCAATGCATCCGCGAGATCATCAAAAGCCATCAACTCCTGCAATTTTTTGAATCATTTCTGTATAATGTGAAACAAACATGGTTCAAGAATCAGCTTGCTTCTCATTTGTAACTTATAAAAGAAAAAAAAGGAGGGGAGGAGAGAGAGGAGGAGATAAATTTTTTTTTTGAGCGAAAAAGTTCTTTTGCTTTGTATAATATTACCCAGGACCATTGGACCTACCAGTCGTGCAGTTCAGCATTTCTCCCAACGTTACTAGTATACGTTAATAGCACATTATATATGGAATTTCTAAAACAAGATCAAGGAGGACCAAACAGCAAGCTGAAATAATTAGGTTACTTCAACCTATTCTACATATATAATTTTCAAGAATTCTGTTAAAATGAATTACCAGAAATCTATAAAGCACAATCTCCTTAGAAAATTTATTGTAAATTAAAGATAAAAGGCAAACCTGTAAAAATGCAACAAGAGTTTGGCCAGTAAGTGCTTGTGGTACAGCCACGCGAAAATACTTATGGGTTTTGAGCGGAGCCGATTGAGCGATTCTCATAGATAGTGAATCGAGCTGAAAGATGTTGCTTCGTGAAAAACAACTTTATTGAATTGCGAATCCAGCACTTAACCCCCTTCTATTTCAGAATTTCTGGCTGAAAGCAGTGTAAGTTTGAGGCATATATCAGACAGTTCAGGTTGAAGTACTGAGATCATAAAGGCATTTCGATTAATCAGAAACAAGGTCCATTTAACTAACATCCTGAATAATTGTTTTCGCAGCACTAAAAATCAACAGTGCATGCAACCAACTGTACGCTGCATGTCATTTTCATTATATGCGTTTAAAGATTTGCTTTCAGTAGTACTTCTACTACTCTCCGGAAATATATTGATATACACTTTTTCTAGCTTTACACTGCTTCTTTTCTGTCTATAGCTTACAATCAAACATAAAAAATAAAAGGAACAAAAAATTCATTAAAGAATAATAAAAAGAGAAAAGCTCATTGTTACTTGATTTTATCCCTTTTGGTTCATGATCTCAAGCTGTAATATTGTATTGCATGGAATGCAATGTGCTTGTCAGCCGTAAAAAAAAAAAGAATTCCTTAAGAAGTTAGGTCTTAGATTTGCAAATATAATTTATTTTCTTAAGAACAAATTCCTAGCGAAAACTTTTTTAAGGATGAATTTAAATCTTCAGTTTATCAAAACGTACAGGAAACATTGCATCATGATTGATTGCTTACTAGCAGTTCATACTTTTTAACCAAAAACTTTAGTTTTTCCATCAGATGGCATCTCTGAACTTTTACATTATCACAACATTTTAGTATTTTCATGCAGAATAATTATACATAATGAGGCATTATTGTCGTATTACATAATATTACTAAGCTCTTCTATCGCTTTTATGAAATTACAGTAAACAATAAGCAATGCACTTTATGAGTGTATTAGGTAACACAACTGCATTTCTATTTTCCAGTAAGGAACACAGTGAACTCTACGGAAAACAATCTGCTTTGCATACTAAAGATTATATCATTATTTCCCACTCAAGAAATGGACATGTCACTCCATATGTCTTTTAACAAACTTTTCGAGGTATGCAACTTGCTGAAACAGCAATACGAAAAAGCACACTGGAGAGCAGAAATTATAGCAGGTTGAACAATTAATAAATACTTAAAAAGATCAATCTTAAAGATGGGTTAAACAGAAACAAAAAGTCGACGGCAAAAAATCCACAAATACATGAACTTTC